TCTGCTTCTTTGTAGTGCGGTTTTTGCGCTCTTAAAGTGCTTAAAGATGGTCCTTGTCTAGGACACGCAAAGGCAGCGCCGAAAGTTAATTGCTTAATAGTCGAAACATCGATAAATCAAATAAATATGCGCGTAAGCATAGAGCAAAGCGGCGACAACAAAGCGCACAATGAATGCCAAAAGGAAATTGTGTCGATGGCAGAGTATTTGCTTGCGGCAAGGTGGCAACAGGGCCAAAGGAGTGCGGTGCCTGCGGCTTGGGATATGCGACTGATTGATGGCGCCAAGTGATTTATTTATGTTAATGCGAATAACAGCAGCAACAACGAGCTAAATCTAAGTAGCTACCTGAGACTTGACGCCCACAACCAACCCACCCACCCACCTGCCCATTCCCATTGACCTCTGTGCGCCATTTCACCTGCGACAAGCGCTGTTGTACGTGATTTGAGGCATTTGCTGTTGTTGTATTTTTTGCTTTCGTTGTTGTTGTTGTTGTTGTTGTGCTGTGTCAACGACGCTGACAATTAATCAACTTGGTGCGTGCGTGGAAGGCGTGACGGGGGCGAACGATAACAGTCAACGAAGGAGACGCGCGGCCCGGGCGACAATCATCATCAATTGGACGGGGGGGGACGGGGGCACGCGGGTACCGAGCCACATAGCACACTTTATTATGTCCAATTCGTAAGCCCCATCTTGCTGGCCTTCGCCCAGCGAACTGCGAATTGATTTCATTTATTTATTTATGTTGCAACAACCGAAAAACTTGTCTAAATACTTGAAATATTCGCTGTGCACACAGTTTCATTTGAGCGATTCCAAAGCATTTCATCAACTGGCTGACCTAACACCATTCCTCTCTCCGCCCCCCCCCCCCCCCTTTCCCCCTTTCCCCCTTCCCCATCCCACATAACCTTAACCCAAGAGCGCCAAGGAAAGGAAAAACACAAAAAAGAAAATATTAAATGTATTTTTGCTGCAGTGAGAGTTATCGCAATGCAGATACCCTGTACTCTCAGAATATTTTCAGATATTTCTTGTTACCATTGCAGATTTCAACAATTAGGTCGGGATTAGAACCGTTTTTAATATTGTATTATATTATATAATATATTATATCACGTTTATATTTGAATTAAGCGCATTTAGTTAGTTTTTTAAATTAACAATCAGTTACATGATAAAAATGTGGCCATTATATTTTCAATTATTATTTTTATCCATTTTTATTAATTAAATCAGACAATTTTTCTATCAAATATGTTTCGGCTATGTTTACTACGTTAGACTGTTCTTTATCTAGATAATCCCACTTCTGTTTAAAAACCTGATTGCAGTCATGGATAAAATATAATTTTTATAACCAAAGAAAAACGGAACAGAAAAAGAACAAGTTCTAGAATCAATCTAAAATCAAATCTCTGAGTCAAAATGTATTCTCTATACATACAAATCAAGAATATATATGTATATATGCTCTATATAGTCGAAGGTGCCTGCCTCTGCTTGTTAAAACTTCACCTTACCCTTTCTTACCCTTTGATGGGTGCAGGGTATTAAAGGGAAGAAACTGGCAGAGCAACAAACTTTGGCACAGGCGACAAGAAACGCATCAAATGAATTTTAATGCGCGCCAGGGGAACGTTCAATAATTAATCAGACAAATGGACAGAGTGAAGAATGATTCTTACTTACTTTCAATACTTACTCAATTGGTATTGTTTTTGTTGCATATCTTCTTTTTTTTCCTCCTCCTGGCTATTGTTTGTCTTAGTTATGTGGAAAGGTGTGCATAATAAATTTGGGTTTCAAATTAAATATAAGTACAGTTGAAATTGGAGATTGATTTATTTTCCAAATAAGCTGGAGCTGCAAGAAAAAAATATAAGTAACTCAGATTTTTAAATCTAAATTAGGAAATAATTTGACTTATTAAGTGCTTAAGTAGACAGTCACAGCATGGATATTCTGTGCTCTGCAACCGCTTCACATTCGAGTATGACTTTAAATTTTCGCCTTTTTCCAGAGAGAAACAATGTTGGCAAATCGATTCGATTAGATTGAAAAGATGAAATAAATAAAATGACACATTTGAAAGCCCGTTAAATAGATTACGTTAGGAACGCATTTGTCGCCTGCGCCTTTCCATTTGCTTGTTCTTTGTGCGTTGGCCAGGCGCCGCTTTGGCTGCACAGCAATTCGTAACGTAAGCAGCAGCAGAAGTCGCAGCACCAAAAACAAACATCAATAAGAAATATATTTTAAAGACACTATGCTGTCCACTTTTTTGGGGACTGCCTTTGAAATTAAAAAAATTTGGGAGATAGGCATGTTATTCCTAGCATTCTCAGAGCTTTTGGTGTCTTTTAAGTAGCTTGAAATAAGACGCAATTTTCAATTTAACTACATATTTTTAAAGCTACAACTAGCTGGTAGTCCGCCTTTAGTTTATTGCTATTGTTATTATTGGCATAAATGTTCTATCTATTTTCACACCCATATCTGCACTATGCTAACCCCACGTCTCAAGTTATATTTATAGATATTCGAAAATGAGTTTCACGTCCATCGAATTTAGCATCAATATTTGGAATCAACGTTTGCCGCCCATTTTAGTCCTCTGCTGTAAAGCGTGAAGCCTACAAAAACAAAAACTTTCGTTCATACGACCTACAACATTAATTTTCCAACCAAAAAAAGTGGATTTTGCTAAAATTGTGAAGCACGTCTCAAATGAATTTTAAAAAAGGATCTTTAAAAATGAGTTCCAAGAAAAATCGTTTTTCGTCAATAGCTGCAGGTGGAATCAACCAAATTCGCTGAAACACAAAGTTCTTATGTAGGACTTTAAAAATGAGTTGGAATCAGGTCGGAAAAAAATTAATAAAATCTTCTTCACGATAAATTCTATTTTTATATTACATGTTTATTAGTACTGCCTTTTTTCGAAAATTTTAACTGCAAGTTATTAGGCTTCAATCGATAATCACCAATAATATGACAATGGTCTAAACTGTTACGAAATCTTTGCATTATTTTGGAAAAATCGTTTAAAAAAAAATCAAAATACATGATGTAGAATCAATGTAAATAATATATGTATATATTTTGTTTTATTCTATATATTATTATTTTAATAATATTAAGCAAGTATAATTGATCCAAATATTAATATAATCATTATACTAAGGTTAACATTGCCTATAACTCAACTCACATACATATGTACATCCATACATGGATGCAATTTTTTGTCAAGTGTCCCTGTTGAAACGAGCCGCGGCGTTTTTGGCATGGCGTTTGCTGCTGGTAAGCTCTCCTGGCGTTATGTTAGTTTTTGCCCCGCAGCTTATGCCGCAAAACTTTTTTGCGCGTCTGCCGCTCTGTCGCCGCCATGGCTTTGCTATGCTTTGCCGCGATTTGCTTTGCTGCTGGTCCTGGTGATGGTGCTGCCTTTGGCTTTGCCTTTAACGTGACCTTTTGCGACGCGTCGCGACGCGCAAACGATGACGTCGCCGTCGCTGCCGTTTTTACTGTTGCCTTTGCTGTCGCTGACGTCCCGGAGCAATAAAACTGATGTCACGTTTTTATGACGCCGTTGATGAGTCGTTATCTTTGATTTCGGCACGCAGCCCCCGTCGGCCAGCTCCAGGCTGACATCCCGTTAGGCCGTCAAATTGTTTGTGCCTTCTGGTCAAGTTTACACCCACGTCTGCGATTCGCCCAACATTCGCTTCAGGTGCTGCCGCGTCTGCGGTCGTTACTCGTTTTATTTTCGCTGCTCCACGTTTTTTAATTTACGCCCAGTTCAATTTGCGCTTTTTGTTTTATCGCAAGCTCATAATTTATTGTGCTTTTTTATTCTCTTTGTTTTTGCTGGCATTTGCGAATTGAATAGCGAAGAGAGCCGACTGAAACACACGGCATTTGCCGTTATTTTTATTGTAAGGTGCACATGAGCAATGGCCGCCACCTCGTTTCGGATTAGCTTTTGTTTATGAAAGCTTACAGTTCTTTTTTGTTTTTGTTTTGTTGTTGTTGTTGTTATTGCTGCTTATGCTTTGTTTACGACGACTTCAGACAACTATAAAATACAGCTGCGCTTCACCACACCGAGAGCATCCGGAGATTCGTTTCAAGGTAGCTTCTGTGGCCGATGCACTCAGAGCATATGCAAAATAGTCATTGAACAGTATTGAAATACCCTATTCCCTATTCGAAAAGGTACTAGAAAAGCTTCTCTCAGTTTAATTTTAAGTATATTTTGCATGTGCATTAGTCAAATGAAGGGAAGAGCAAAACTAACTGACTGCTCACATATTATTTGTTTTCGAAAAATATTTACATAATATCCAACTTCATTAGCCTCTATCTTTAACTGGTGATAAATTTACATTTTTTAATAGGTTATCAAAAGACTGTTATGGTTTTGTAATACATTCTTTTCTCCCTCATCAAGCAAATATTCAAATATTTGTTATTTGGTCAAATATGAGCAACCCCTTATCAATTGAAATTTTCGAACATATAACAACACGTTCTTTATTTTATCCATAATATGAGCATTGTAAGGTTACCGCCCAATTAATAGCCGACAATTAATAGTCTTCACGAGTTTAAGTTTAAACAAAGCGCGAAAATCAGAAATGCAGCCATGTGCACAGCATATTTTTTTAATCGATATAATATAATCGATATATATAGCGCATTGCAGAACCATTTTGAGCTAAACAGTGTAATTTTGGTCTTAACAGCGGATGTGCTGGTTAACAGACTTGTTAAGCTATGAACGGAATGATTTTATTTAATTAAATATGTATATTTCTTCTAGTGGTCAATGCATTTAAAGGGCGCAATTTTGCCAAGAGAGTTTATTTGATGCAACTGTAAACGCAGCAAATATCTGAATATATCGATAACTGCGAACGCCTATCGATGCTAACAGTCGAATACGCATCCTCTTCAGCTGTGTGCGCGTGTATGTGTGGTTGTGCGCGCGTGTGTGTGCGTGCATGTGTGTGTGTGTGTAAGCGCCTCCGTGCAATCTATTAAGTGTGGAATAGCAAATATCAATTGAATATAGAGAATAAATCAAACGAGCGTCCGACCGCTGGCGTTCGCCCTAAATAATTGTTGCTTCTAGTGCGATTTCCCGTTGCTGTAGTCGTCGCCGTCGACGTCGTTGTCGGTGTTGTCGCTATATTGCCTTAATGTTTTTGTTGTTGTTGTCGCTGTGTATCTGTTGACGGCAACGCGCAACGGCCAACTGATGAATTTCAATTGTTTTCATTAAACGGCACAGAAAGAAGAATAAAGAAAACAAAATTTATGCGCGCGCCGCACGCCCCAAGCGACGCCCCGCCACCGTTACCGTTACCCAATCCGCCCCAGCCGTTACCAAAAGGCGAAAAGCAGCAGCAATAGCAGAAGCTGCCCGTACGCATACACGGACACACGCCCCAGACCCAGATCTGAAGTGCCCCAAAAAAAAATATGTCCTCCAACAGCTTTGGCAGCGGTGCTGCAGCTGCAGCTGCGATAACCTCGGCCTCCGCGGCGGCCGCAGCCGCAGTAGCGGCGGTTAACGCTGATTTGTGGCGCGAATGCGTTGCCTGGTTGGTCCGCTGCAAGGTTATACCCTCCGACCACAAGGCCGCCCTGCCCGACGCCGAGATACGCATACTGGCCATGACATTGCGCGACGGTGTGCTACTCTGCAATCTGGTCATACACCTGGATCCCAGCAGCATGGACGCGCGCGAGTTCAATCGGAAGCCCCAAATGGCCCAGGTGAGCCCTGCGCAGAGCTATCGAAGCAAACGTATAAATAACGTGCCGTGTCTTGCTTTCAGTTTCTGTGCTGCAAGAACATCAAGCTGTTCCTGGATGTGTGCCACAATCATTTCAATATACGTGATGCGGACCTGTTTGAGCCCACCATGCTATACGATCTAACCAACTTCCATCGCGTGCTCATCACCCTCTCCAAGCTGTCGCAGTGTCGCAAGGTGCAGCAAATGCATCCGGAGCTGCTGTAAGTGCCACAGTTAGTCTGTCCGACTGAAATGGGGCGTGTGATGCAGTTAGTATCAGATAGAGCATTTGGTCGCATTTGGGGTCAAATTGGATGAGCTCATAGCTCGCACTCTGCTATCACACACCCCCATCCCCACCCCCATCCCATTGCAAAGGTGCCAATTAGCGCTAAACAATTTGTGTTTTTTTGATTTTGCAGCGGCTTCAATCTGCAGCTGTCGCCAAGCGAGCGTTCCCATTCGGATGAGGCCATCTACAAGGATCTGCATTCCACGTAAGTGTTCATTCGTGTATTTGCCACAAGCGTGAGCATTGCGTGTAATCTTTAGTGCGTGCTTTCCCCGCCTTTCCAAACCGCACCCAACCATGCAGAACTCCACGCCCGCCCTCCTGCCCCAGTCTTTAGCCAATCCATTTAGCTGCTGGCACACTGCAATTGAAATGTTCTGTTTGCATTTCCTGTTTGAGATGTTTGCTCGGGTGCTGTCTCATTATGCGCTCGCGTGGCTGACAGTGTCCCGATGCCAGACCACAGACCCGAGACCCGCTTAAGCCCTTGTCTGCCTGCTTATCAGCAACAACTACAACAACATCAACAACAACAACAACAGTAACAAAATCAACAAATATCCATGTCCAAGCTTTATCTAACGCTGTTTCTCTCTCTCTCCCTCTCTCTCTCTTTCTCTCTCCTCCTCTCCCTCTCTCGCTCTCTCCCTATTTTTCTTTTCCGGCTGTCTGTTCCGTACTCTCTCCTTCTCATTCCCCCTCCAATACATTGTATTTTTGCTGCCCCAAAAATGTTCACCATATTGTCGCCTAACTCCCATGTCTTGGCTAAACGTCCGCTCTTTGTGCGTGTCTGTGTCTGTGTGTGTGTATGTCACAATGCCCCCCGCACCCAACCACGCCTGCACTACCCTCAACCGGCAGCAATGAATTGAAGGCAACTGGAAGCATCGATGCCACCGGCTCTTCATCCTCGGATTACTACGAGCGCACCTCGCAGAGCGGTTCGCTCTCGGTGGAGGATGAGAATAGCGATATAACCATTGAGAATGGCACCGAGGACATTGACGACTATATCGAGGATTCGCTGTCAAACATGTGTGATACAACGATCGACAATGATGCCGTCATCGTTGACGTCAATCAATCCGTCCAGGGGCAGCTGCGCGCTCTCTCCTTAGACCTTAACCTGAGCGTGGCCGGCAACGGTGGCTTTGACTGTGTCACGCCCACACCACAAATGGATGCGCCCAAGGCGAGCACATCCGCAGCAGCAGCAGCGGCAGCAGCAACAGCTGCCTTTGAGAAGCAACATCATGCGTCCACCAGCTCCTCATCATCATCGCTCTTTGTCAGCGAGAGCCAACGATTGCAGCGAGCCGCTGCTGCTGTCTACAACTACCGATCCTCGGAGCTGATGTCCACGGAGCACGAGTACGCGTACATCAATGACATCTACAGCGAAGACGACGAGAAGGTCTATGAGGATCTCTGCTACGTAACGTTCCAGTCAAAGGTCAAACCAGAGGTGTGCTGCCTTCAAACTCCATATACTCGTTCTCTGTAAAACCAACCACCAACAAACCACAAATCCGAACAACCAACCGCTTGTTTGTACTTGCAACCTTGACTCTACTCGTATGTATGTATGCTGCAACTGGCTAACTGCTTCACAGCTGCCCAGCACTCTCTCACAGCTATCACAACTAGCATAACTTAATCCACACACACACACGCAACCCTTTCCCCCGCCTCACATCTCTCACCTACGACATGCTATCGCAAAACCAACCACCTGCACTGCAACTCATGCGTTTCTATGTCGGATTATGTCTGTGCATTCTTTTGTATTTGCTTTCTGTTTCCTTATCTCTTTTTCTCTCTCCCTACCACCCTCTCTTTCTTTATTCCTGTTATAAGCCCCCACTCCAATCAGACCCCTAAAGCACGCGTAGCCCACATAAACTGCAATGCGAATCGGACAAACGGAAATGGCAACGTTTTTTTTTTCTGTTTACCTTTTAATCGTAACCGTTTTCATCCAAAACTGACAAACTCGCAAATCCCATTAGTTTCGGGCTTATACATATATATGTATTATAGCGCAGATATATGCCAGACACGAACTACTGAGCCATACCGGCGATGCAGACAGATAGAAAAACAACAAAAAAAACAACAGCTAAATTGATATCGACCCAAACTTTTTGGGGGCCTTTTTTTAACCAGCTCTTCAGATAACAGCTCAACCAGATGGGTATCTCTAAACCAACCATCTTTTTGTAATACGTTCCTATCTGCATTATCTATGCACCTGGCTATGCCAGTCCGATTGAGCACTGTGTACGCAGCTCTCATCAATTCGAGAATAGTCCGAATAAATTAAAAATTGGGGATTTTATTGAATTAGTTGTTCTCCAATTTAAAATTGAAAAGGAAACCCCAAAGATTTAAATGAATTTCGTACCATTGTTGGGGCTTTAAGTTCTATATCTTAATGTTAAATTTAATAAACCCTCCCAATTCCAGAATTTTTCGATTCGATTGAATCAATTAGATTAGAAATAAAAGTATAAAAAACAATATATTCAAATTAATTTTGAACCATTGTTCGGGCTTTAAGTTCCATATTATTCTCTCCAGATCAGAAAAGCAAAAAAAATTAAATTAAACTTTACATTTTGGGACTTCAAGTTCTATATCTTAATATTAAATGAAAATACTACGTGCCTAATCTAAAATCAGCCCAAGACATACGCTTCCCCTTTACTGAAGACTTTCTTCAGATAAGACTCCTTTTTAAAACCCAATGTCGTTTATATTTTTTCAACACGTTTTTAATTAAACAGATATATATGTATATATATATATTACAATTTTCGGGTAGCCACCATGAGGTAGCCTCATATAGAACAAATTAAAGTCCTAATGTTTCAAAATAGAATATGATCCTAAGCTAACATATCATATGTCATGAGCCTAGCACACGACTCGATCATGCAGGAAACTAACGTCAGGAATTCAGGTTCAAACTACATTCTCGATTATATAATTTTGTATAATGTAAAAGGCCTTAGAAAGCCAGTGCTCTTTATAAGTTAGCTTGTTGCTTCAATAACTATAATTTATGCGTTATAATTATAATTTTTCATGATCAGACATTTTCCAATTTCAAACTACTTTTAAGCTGTGCGGCTCGTCTGATCAAAAATATATAGTATTATATTATACATGTAAACGATAGAATAGCATTTGTATATGTGGGTAACATTGTGTAATAGTCAAAACTTTAATCCCTCAACTTTCCACACATTTTCAACAAAGTCAAATTTTCTTTTTGCTTTCTGCTTTTTTCAATGCGTCGCCGATTATTACATTTATATACTTTTTTTATACTTTTTTTTTTGATAGTATGTTCGTGTGTGTTATTTTTTATTTGCCTTTCAATAACAATAAGCGAGTATCTACAATAATTCTTTATGATCTTAGGGAGATCATATTTTGAACTATCTAGAGCTTCTAGCGTTTCATGCTTTTCAAGTCTTTTCTTTAAATACAGTTAATGTTTTTACCTGTCGTGCCTGTGTCTTGTGTTGTGTGTGTACGCCTTAGGAAAATAACAGCCAGGATCGTGTGTGTGTGTGTATATATATATAATGTGTGTGTGTGTGTGTAAATAAAGCAATATATGATTCATTTTTAGAGGAACATGATGTTCAGCATCTTAAGCTTCCATCCAAACTCCGAACTCTGCCGCCTCATGGCTGGCCAATGTCATCCTCATCGGTGTCGTCGTCGTCATCGTCACAGCTACTGTTGCAGTTGTAGTCAACGGTGTTGTAGATGTTCATCAGCAGCGGCGTCACATTCGCGCCGGGCACCAGCTGCTCCAACAGCTGGCCGGCCACTTTGCATAGGCCGCCGAGGCGCAGCTCCATGCGGTGCTCGTAGCGGCGGCGATGTCTGTAATATTTTTCCCTTTCGGTCAACGCCTTGCGCTTTCTGTTGGACGACAACGGCCTGGCCGTCAGCGTTGCTGATCCTGACCAGCTTGACGACTTGGCTCGCTCGCGATCGTCGAGCGGCACTGATCCTGATGCAGACTCGTAGTTAGCGGTTAACTGCTCCACAGCGGTTGTCTCGCATATATCTGAGGCTGATTTCGCCGGCAAGGGCGAGCCCAAAATAGACTCCGCCTCCGATAAGTCGGACACCTCAACGGCCACCGGATCGGAGGGCTGTGAACTCTCCTCTGAATCCGAGTCAGTGTATATGTCCGAAGGAGAGCCCTCGCCGTAACGCCTATTTGATACCTTTAGCACTTGCTTGCCAATTAGGATGGCTTCACAGCTCTTTTCTAGCTCCTCGTGCTGCTGCTGCTGCGGCTCATCTGGCATAGCAAGTGCATAATCGAGCTCCACATTGACCGCAGCCTCAACCGACTGCAACTGGCTACGCATCTGTCTGCGAGCGCTGTTTGGCGCCGCTATCGCTGCGCCAAAGCTGTGATCATTGACAACGCCGCGAATGGCCACATTGTTGTTGTGCGAGTGCTCTTGGACGTTGGGCTCCTTGAGCGCATACGAGTGCAGGTCGGTGGTCTTTTGGTTCATGTACGCGTGTATCTCCCCAAAGAACTCCCATTCCTCGTTGAGCACATCTATGCATTGCTTGTTGAGCGGCGTCGCCTGCATATTGGACTTCTGGACGCGATAGCGCTGGACCATGTTTAGCCACTGTTTGCGCAGCGCCCGTTCGCTGTAGTCGCCAATTTTGGCCATGTCCTTGAACTTTCTGCAACACACAGACAAAACCACGCACTCCAGATATATATATATTTGATATGAGGAAAAAACCAAATGCACTTACTTCCATGGCTCCGCCTGCTTGGACGAGTATTTGGAGAATAAATCTTCAGCTTCGATGCGCTTTGTGACAAGCAGACGCTTCTCCTCCACAGACCCTGCAAATTTCGAGTGACAGCCTCCATATCTTGCTGAGCAAATGCATGTGCATTACTTACACTTTTTGGAGCCACTTTTAGCATATGTGTGATGATCCATTGCGCAGTTTGCGGTTGAAAATACTTTCAACGCACGTGCACAGCGAAATTAACGAACAAAAAAAAAAGAATGGAAATTGGATGCTTGGCTGCTGCTGCTGGCTCTGCTGCTGCTGCTGTTGCCTGTTTGCCCTGGTTCTGTTAGGTGTATGTTAAGTTAACATGCTTCTGTTAGTGTTAGTCTGTTCTCGAATGATGAGGCATAATCTTTGACTATCGACATATCGATAAACACAACTTTTAAGAAAATAATTGCCATACTTTTTATAGTCTTGCAAGTTTATGCGCGCCAAATTATTTTAATTTAAATTGTAATCTTATATTTTGCTTACAGTTTTGCTTTGGTTATTTGTTTTTTGCTTTGATTTATTTTACTTTTGTTTTTGTTTTTCATTTAGTACCACCGACAATATTGCATGCAATGGAACCGTATATGATCACACCAACACAAAAGAAGAGGAGGTCTATCAAGATTTGTGCGCACTGCACAGAACGAGTAGAGGCCAGGTAGTAATTTGGTTTAACTTTGTACATTTCTTAAAGCCTGCCAACAAATATTTAGCTATGCTTAGTTGCATGACTCTGTGACGAGGCTGCTGCCTAAGCTCAGCTCAGATCGACTAATTGCTGCACATCTCTTCCTGTTAATGTAGACCACATCGGCGACCAGCTTTGAGCAGCGGGACTATGTCATACGCGAACTCATCGATACGGAATCCAATTATCTGGACGTGCTTAATGCACTCAAGGCCAAGTTTATGCTACCTCTGGAGCGCCATCTCAATCAGGACGAACTGCGACTAATTTTTCCCCGCATACGGGTGAGCACGGAAGCTGGGAACGTTAGACAACACCTACACATATCTAATCATTTTTTATGCATTGCCAGGAACTTGCTGACATTCACACCAAGTTTTTAGAAAAGCTACGCGAATCGCTGGTGCCCAACACAAAGCTTAAGATGGGTCAGGTATTCCTTGAGTTTCGCGAGCCATTCCTCATCTACGGCGAATACTGCTCCTGCCTGCTGAACGCCATTGATTACCTAGCCGATGTGTGCAAGAAAAACCAAATCATAGACCAGCTGGTCCAGAAATGCGAACGCGAATACAACGTGGGCAAGCTGCAGCTGCGGGATATACTGTCGGTGCCCATGCAGCGCATACTCAAGTACCATCTGCTGCTGGACAAGCTGGTGAAGGAGACGTCGCCATTGCACGAGGACTACCGCTCGCTGGAACGGGCCAAGGATGCGATGATCGATGTGTCGCAGTATATTAACGAGGTTAAGCGCGATTCCGATCATCTTGTCATCATACAAAAGGTCAAGGACAGCATATTTGATTTGAATTTGCCGCAAAACGGCAACGATCTGCTGCAATATGGCCGACTGCTGCTCGACGGCGATCTGCACATTAAGGCCCACGAGGATCAGAAGACCAAGATGCGTTATGCGTTTGTCTTCGACAAAATTCTGATACTGGTCAAGCCGCTGCATATTAAAACCGGAGACATGCAGTACACATATCGCGACTCGCACAACCTCGCCGACTATCGCGTGGAACAGAGCCACTCGCGACGCACGCTCGGCCGGGATACGCGCTTTAGATATCAGCTGCTGTTGGCACGCAAATCCGCCAAGACGGCATTCACACTTTACTTGAAGTCGGAGCATGAGCGCGACAAGTGGCGCAAGGCGCTCACCGAAGCCATGTAAGTGCCATGTGTCTGTGGTACAGTGAAGCTGCGATGCCATGAACGTTGTTCCTTACTTTGAACTGTTTTGCAGGGAAAGCCTCGATCCACCTGGCTGTCGCAATACGGATCACAAAATGGAAATCTACACCTTTGATGCGCCCACAACTTGTCGGCATTGCTCCAAGTTTCTTAAGGGCCGCATACACCAGGGCTATCGCTGCAAGGTGTGCCAGATAAGTGTGCATAGGGGCTGCATCTCCTCGACGGGCCGTTGCAAACAGAATCCAATCAGCATACCGCCGCCAGTGTGCGACCGCCAGTTGTCCGAATTCAATTGGTTTGTGGGCAATATGGATCGCGAAACGGCGGCCAATCGACTGGAAAATCGCCGCATTGGCACCTATCTGCTACGTGTACGTCCCCAAGGTGCCTCCTCGCCGCACGAGACCATGTACGCGCTCAGTTTGAAGTGAGTGCAATCCCACAGAAACCAAACAAGAGAAAATATCCAAACAGTTTCCCTATCTCTCTCTCTCTCTCTCTCTCTCTCTATCTCTTCATGCAGAACCGATGATCATGTGATTAAGCATATGAAAATAAATCAGGAAAACGATGGCGAGTCCATGCTCTATTGTTTATCCTCGCGCCGCCATTTCAAGACCATCGTTGAGCTGGTTTCGTATTATGAGCGAAACGATCTGGGTGAAAACTTTGCCGGGTAATCGATGGACTTAAACAACAGCCATTGCCCATTGTGTAGTTACTGACCACTAATTCTTTCTGTTGACAGGCTCAATCAGTCGTTGCAATGGCCCTTCCGCGAGGTCATTGCCACCGCGCTGTACGACTTCGATCCGAAGGCTGGCAGCAATCAGCTGCAACTGCGCACCGATTGTCAGGTGCTTGTGATTGGCAAGGATGGCGACAGCAAAGGCTGGTGGCGCGGCAAGATTGGTGATACGGTGCGTAGCTCTATTTGTAGATCAAAGCGTGATTGCTATATTTATAATGCTTGATCATACACAGGTTGGATATTTTCCCAAGGAGTACGTTCAGGAGCATCCAGTCACTAGCGACGAGCTTTGATATTACAACTATGAGGTTTACTTCGCACCTAAAGCGGGCACTCCAACGGCGGCCATTTCTGAAACACCTGTAGCTCTACAAGCAACAAATGAGGATACGATTCCCAACTACAACCATAACAACAACAACAACAACAACAACAATAACAGCTGTTAGACAGGCAACAACAAGATGAACATGATGCTGAGAAAGCAATATCTGTTGCACTTAGTTCAAATATACATATACAAAATCATTTTAAATTAATTATTTTTATAATTTGTTTGTTTTTTTTATTGTAAATTTTCGTCGCTCGAAACATTAGTGCCAACAACAGAACAATTATGAAATGCATCACAAAATGTTCTATAAAATTTTAAACGTTTTTTTTTTAACTAATTGTATATTGCAATATATAATTAAATACTTAGTGTTTAAGCATATGTGAACTGTATCGACAAGCGTAACAGTTTAGTCTTTTTAAATTTTATGTGTATTTCATGTCCCCCCCCTGGCATATGTTCATTAAGATAAATGTGAAAAAACAAAACGAAAATAATAGAAATGAAGACGAGAAAAATGATAAACATAAACAAATGCGCTGTGCGGCATTTCATACAAGAAGCTTTAAACTTTATATAAATATATATATATAAATCACAACTCTACTGTATAACGTATATGTTTATATATGCATATATGTAATGGAATGTGTCAAAATATGTGTATATTAAACTTATGAATAATTCGAAACGCAAATGTTAACAAGTCAAAAGCAACAGAGCAACAATTCTGCGACAACAACAAAAAGCTTTAGATCACGATATAACGTTAAACAAACAAACAAACAAACATATGCATAAGAATATGCGAACTTATATACATTCGTAATTAAACATTAACTTTATTGTACCTAGAGCCAACGAATGTAGAAGACTTAAATATTCGAGGTGTTCAACTATTTTACGAAATCCAATCAACGCGATAAGCATTAAACACTTTATGCATATTAGGAATAGTATATCAATTATTTCCACGCCAGTTTTTTAGCACAGCAATAGCAAACAACAAGCAAATGTTTGCCTTCAGATTTTCTTAGCAAGTTGCAAGTTTTAGGTCAGCAACATTTCGACAACAATAACGGCAGGTAAAATCTAGATAAAAAAAAAAGTATGAGTATATATGTTGTATATGTATGTGTATACGGTTTCACATATATCGTGATAAACTTAATTTTGTATGCCCTAATAATAAAAACATATATTGTATTTTGTTCTATAGCATTAACGCAAACATTTCCAAACTGCATTTAAATGCTCTTGCAACAATCTCTCCTTCACTCTTTCTCTCTCTCTCTCTCTCTAACTTTTGCCTTACTATCTCACTCGATACGATATTTAAATATATATACATATGTATGCGCACGTACTGAAATCATTGTTTGGCAGCTGAAATAAATGAATAAATATATTAGAATAACTATACGAAAAACAATGCCACAAAAAACGTATATATTGGGCCCCATTGTTTCGGGCTGCTTAAGTAGTTTTTTTGTTTGTTTTTTAATTAAAATTTGTCGCTTCCAGTTCAATGCCAATGTAACAAATGTATTAAATTTAAATGATTTTGCTTAACATACTTACGTGTTAGTCCAAAACACACACACGAAAAACAAAAACAAAAACACGCTAATAAAGGACCTTGAATGTTTTGTTGTTCAATTGGAATCAAATTGTTTAAGCTGAATGCTGAGGGCGGGCACAGGGTGCATTTTATAAAGCTTAAAGCTTTAATATAACTACAAACTGTATTTCCCTTTGCAGATTTTTCTAAGTAGTTCGCACTCTCTCTCTTTTTCTTACTCTACCTTTACCGTTAACTGTCGCCTTTCTATGCGATTCTCATAAATTCAAGAAATAGGAAATAGAAGGACCAACAGAGGTATCAGCTATGTCGCCAAGACAGTTGCCATGAGGTACAGATGTTCAAAAAAGTACACTTCATTTACGCAATACGTACTTAGGACCTGGTGTTGGTTACAAAATGCTATTTTTGAGTTTTCAATTAAATTTGGCTTGAATATTCTATATATGTAGGTTTTGAATTTGAATAACATTTTCTACACATATTTAAATTGTTCAGTTTCGAAATTTTCTTTAAATTCAAAACAAGGTGGTTATAAAAAATACGAAATAAAATATGTTGCAATAACTAACATTGAAAAGCATTATAATTATATACATATTTATAAGAATTGAACTTTATCATCATAGAGTTTAGTACATTTTCTAGTTCAGATTATCTGTTATGTAGCTTTTAGCTTTTCTTCAGTTTTATTTACATTTAGAAAATTTGAATTTAACCCTTTTCTACTTTGGTACATTTTCAGGTATTATTTTGTACTAAATATGTTTTCATATAGTGTTCAGTTTTGAATTTATAAAAATAGCACTTTTTCATTGTAGGATCTAGTACACCTTTTATAAAAAATGATGGAAATGGCCAGTTTTCATAATTAATTTCAAAGAGTTCTAGGTACACATTTATGAAAATTGTACCTTTTCACTACCCAATTCAATAAAGTTTTTGGAATTTAGTGGAAAAAAAATAGTTTTTGAAATGGCAACGATTCGAGCTATTTTCATCATTTACATTTACAAAAGTTCAAGGTACATATTTATGAAAGTTGTACTTTTGCATTATCCAGTTTGGTACAATATTTGGCATTTCGTGGTACAAAATGATATTTAAAATGGCAGCGCTTTGATCTTTTATCCAACGCTCGTAGGCGCGTGCGCAACAGCTTTAAAGCTCTGCTTCGGTGCAGTGGTGCGTGCACGGGCTAAGCAGAGAAACGCACCAGCTGCAAGCGACAACGACTCAGTTTTGGCCCACCTGTTGGCCAACCACTTGCCAAAAGAAAAGTCAAGTCTGATGAGCGGGCGAACGGGCGAGCGAGCGAGCTGGCGATGAGCGACGAGCGTCGCTAAAGCGTTTAGAAAGTTCGTAGTTGCAGCCGTCTGATTGGCAGCGGGGCGGGTTGCGGGGGCACTGGATACTGAGTATCGGGCCGAGTATCAGACTGGGGCAGTTGTTGTTTAGTAAGCGGCGCAGAGTCAACAAGTTCGGTTCGCAGCGTTCGAGGGCAAAACCCGCGCTCGGCTAATTGCTTATCGCGTTCATATATATTTTTTTACCATTTGTTTTTGTTGTGTTTTTACTATTTGCCAACGTTCGGCGTGTGTTTTTGTTATTTATTGCACTTTTTTTTTTTTGGCTGCAACTGCCACTGGAAACGGTTAACTGCAACTGCAACGGCCAAATGTAAATGAATTGCTTTAGCCAACAAATTTGTGTGGCCCATCTCTGTGACTCGAGTGCGGCGGCCCACGAAATGTATCTCAAACTGAACCTGTCGCCCAGCCGCAGCTAGTGCACAATATACAATTGCACTTGCGGCCAAGTGTCTTGTGTGTCTTTTGTCCGCATTGTACAGGGTATATGCCCTAGCATAAAACATAAAAATTGTGGTGCACAGTTTCGGCTGAGTGCTTGCAAAAATAGATACAAAAGTATCTCGAGCGCTCTTTCCTGTGTGTGTGTAATTTTTTTGTTCAATATTTTGTGCTTGTACTTATTTTGGCGCTCATTTTCATGCGTTACGCTTAGCTGCAATCTGTGTGTGTATCTATCTGTGTGTGTGTGTGCTCGTGTGTGTGTCCAGCTTAGCTTACAAAATGCTTAGATGAAAGCCAAAAGCCGCAAAGGAAAAACGAAAACACTTTGCAAAAAAAAACCAACAAAGGCGAGAAATTACAAACGAAATTGAAAGTTGCCCATACACAGAGCCTAGCCATATATACATACTATATACATATATATATATGTATATATATATATATATATATATATATATCTGTCTCTACCAATACAGAGCCATCAAGCTGCTGCTATATCATTTGGGAGGCAGTGGCCGCCCCTGTCCACGCGAAATATGTCACAATTCCGAGATAATTCATGGGTGAGTTGAGCTCCAAATATTTCCAACAGACGCATGCTAAACAATGTAACGAAACCAAGCACCGACTAACTAGTTACACTAACTCTGCCATGTGCCCAACAACAATTAACCCCATAACAACAACATTTGGCCTCTTGGCTTTGCACAATTTGCGCATGGATGCGGTGGACGACATCGTTAGTTGCCCCCCCCCCCCCCCCTGCTTGTCGAGCTGCTGTCCCTTGTCACAGAGATGCGCAACTTAATTAGTCCAAATCGTTAATTAACCTGTGCTGCCATCTATGGCCCGATTGGCCAATTGGCCCCCACGCAACTGCATCTGACCCGCTTTGCGGTTACACTGTCCCTCCCCTTCGCTCCCCACTCTCTTGTAGCTGATTGGAAAATTGCGTTAGATGCTGCTGCCACGATATACAATATGATTTATTATCCAAAACATTTTGGGGCCAAATTGTGCGTGCCTTTCGTATTCTGATTCGCATTCGAAATTTGCCGTTAAGCGCTGCACAGTGGCGCAAAAGCATCTATTATGCCACAAAAGCTGGCCTAGTTTGCAAAGAAATTGAAACAAACATTTCAATATTGAAATATGCAAACACAAAATTAATTATATATTCAACCAGAAATTTGAGGGGTCACTGCATAAACTTAGTTCGCGTTGCGGCAACATATTTATTAATATCAATATAAGTCAAGTACTAATTGCTTAATTTTGCATTCAATGAAAAAATGTTTGTATAAATCAATTTCTTAAAGGTCAGGTTAGCGAAACATCAAATTATATAATATATTCAATGCCAAATTTTCGAATAATTACATATTTTTTCGAATGTTTCAAGAAAAAAAAAAGTTTTATAATCGATCCAAGAACTCACAAGTTATATTGAATGCATTTTCACAGAATTTCACCAACAAGTGTGAGAAATGAGTGGAATGTGAACAAAAATGTTTTGTGATTATATATGTATATAATTTGATCAAGCTATTTTATATGGAACACTGCTGTAAAACTTATAATTATTCCCCTCAAGGAAAAAGTGAAAGGAAAGATATTAGCTTTGGGACGGAAGTAATTTTTATAGCTCTACACAATATCGATACAATAGCTCCCACAACTTATTCGTGCACATATTTGCACGAAGTGGGGTCTAAGGAATTTCACCTACAAGCGTGTAAAATGAGTGGAATGTGACCAAAATTGTTTTGTGATTATATATTTATATCAATTGGTTAAG